TACCACTACCACTACCACTACCACTACCACTACCACTACCACTACCATTACCACTACTACCACTACTACTACTGCTGCTGCTGCTGCTACTACTGCTACTGGAAGTCCTCTCACGCATGGCTTTGGGTCAATGGAAATACTATGACATGAACATGTTGTTTGACATATTACATCAAAACCTCGGGCTGTGGCTATCCCTACAAGTCAAAGACCTCATTTTACTGGAGATGGTCATACAAAACCACTACTTAAGGAGGTACAAACAAGACCGGGTGTTACTGGGTCTTTGGACTTGTAGGGTATGATCATTGAGCCAACATGTAAAGTCATGACTCTGGACATCAACTAAAGAAGCTTGCACTGGGATCCAGGCACGTGGCACTTGATCTTGAGCCACTCTCCTGAGAAGCCACTACGACGCGAAAACATGCGAAAACAACCCTGCCTTGAACGACAACGAACACAACTTCCATGGCAAGAAGCATTGTCAGGAACAGAACATTGATCCCTGTGATGTAATGCCGTTTACCCCCTTCAACAGCGGAGAGCGACCATAGGTGGATGGTTGCGACGAATGGGTCGGTGGTTGGCAACACATCAAGAAAAGATCCAATTTGAAGCGCTTTCCGCTTTGCTGGTTGATTTAGAGGAGCCTGCCAGAATCAGGTGCCTCAACTGCCAAATTGCCAAAAGTGATGAGGACCAGAAAATTCTAGGAAAACATGGCTGCATGGGTCTTTTCTTTTTGCTGTCTCGTGTCGCATCAAACACAATCTTGTCCATTTGCCAATGAAAATGAATGAACATACATGATTGAAGTATAGAATCTGACCATCAAAGCAGGGCCGTTCTTATTATAGGCGAAAGGAACATGAAGGAACTAGCAGTTCTTCTCTCTCCCTCTGAACCCTGTCCTTCGCGTCATCGAAGTCGCGACCGCGGGACCCTCCTGACGGGGCCATTCGTTCTTGACTTCCAAGCTCCGTTCGGCTCGTTAGGCTAAACACCCGGCTCGATCGCGGCTCTCTCATGTTGGATTCCACCCCCAACGCATTTTTGGAAATTCAGTTTTGTTTCAAACTATTGAAGGTATCCAACAGACGATAACCTCCAGGTCTTGGGCGAGAAAAAGGGAGACCTTCCTGGATTGAAACCAATACATCGCCCTATAGCCTCGCCCTAGCCTTGTACAAATGTCCGACCGGTTCGGACCGAGGTCTTCTCCGACACCAAAGACTCAAGAAAAACGCCATCGAGACATGATCGCTGCACGACCGACGTGCTGAGGAACATGGCCACACCCAAAGAGACGACCGTGCGACCCACGAATTCGTGGCACAGTGCCATCCAATTTGGGAGATGTCGCCCGTGATCGCAGCAGTTTCCGGTACTTGGTGTTGAATTAAGCAGGGCAGCAGGGAATATCAACCCACTTTTAGACAGCTACCAAGGATTGACTGTGTATGTGTCTGCGCGCAACTTGTTGTACCAAAGATGTCGACTCTTCTTCCGCCACTCGAGTGAGTTATGGCGAAGCCTTGACCGGAAGATGTCTTGGAACCAAAATATGTGTGTGTGACCAATGGGCACTTACATTGGTTCAATAGAAAAGGCAATTGCTCTTGGGCATTTACAACGCTTTGCAAGAAAAAACGACCGGAATCTATAATCTCGAGATGGAGCTGCCATTTTGCGCTGGAGTTCAAAATCCCGGACAATGTACAAACTGCCATTGGGGTTTGAATTCCTGGAGATTTCATCTTCGAACCCAAACTGCTCTCTCCAAAAAAAGAATAAAAACAACTATGCCTGTCATGTCGCCAGGGTACCAGGTACCTGGGCACAGTGGCGACCGTTCGATTGGCTTCGAGCCCACTGTGGTGCCGAACGTCTGTGGCGTTGGGGTCAGCGGGAACCCAGACCACTTGACCCGGTTCTCCAATCAACAGACGAGCGACGACCAGGGAGGTTTCCACACCCAGTTTGTAATGACCAGTGATGACATACCCTCCAACATCCTCCAACTAACACAGGACGAAGTGGAAACCACCCGGTTTGTAAAGGAACGTTCGTTAGGGCTCCTGGCCCATGTCCTCAGGTTCGGTGGTTGGACCCCCCTGGCACCCACCACAACCATCTTCGAAACGGAGGTGGTTGGAGCCCGGATTGTTCTCCAAGGGTCCCATTTTGATTCCGAAGAGTTGGAGGACGCAGGATCCACTGCGCCTCTGTTTGGATTTGTCTCCGACCTTCGAAAGGGTTGGAGGTCGTTTCTGGTGGCTTATGACTACCAGGTGAGGTAAAGCGAGAACTGGGAAGCTCAAAGATGATTCTTTTGATGTACAATTTGCTTTTGCTTCTACCAGCCCTCATCATTCTTTGCAAAAGTGCCAACTGGACAATCTGCCAAATACTGCGAGACCGGGTTCATCGGGTCATTCCACGAAACTGGACCAGCTAGGCCAGCACAAAAAGAATTCTCACCAGGCCAGGCCAGGACAATGGATAACTTTGAGACTGATTTCAGGAGCTCACCAGTGCCCTCAGGTTTACCCTTGCCCAGTCGGCCCAGTCGGCCCAGTCGTTCCCTCCATCCACGGTCCGAGGTCGCCGAGTCTCGTGAACGGTTCCGGATCGGCCAGGATCCGCTGTGTCGAACACAGGTACCGTTCCGTACCGAGAAGGTACCTCAGGTACATAGGTCTTTCAGTGGCGAACACATCACCTATACTCCAAGACCTTGTATATATGGGTCCACAAGGTCCAAGGTGATCACTTTTCGATCTTCTTCATCCCCGAGTCCTCAAGAGCACCCTCGGTCACGGACCCACTTCGACCCGAAGCGCGCGCGGTGAGTCCGCGCGCGCCTGCATCCACCAGCCGGATCGCCTGTGTTCCACACGATCCATCGCAGAAGCAAAAGCAATTTCGCATCTGAGATTTCAACCTTGTGACCTTGTGAATTCTCTTCTTCATGATTGTCCAGCCCTATACATATATATATATAATCACAATATGCCGTTGTCACTCGACCACGTCCTGCGGCATCCTTTGATCTCTTGTTCTCTCTTGGTCTCAAGTGCTTTCACTAGCTTCTCAGCATGGATGGTCTCTTCAGTCCCCATGAACATGAATGGTGTGCTCCAAGCGCTAGTGGAGGTCGAATCCGAATCCGCAGCTCCAGCACATTGGATTCTACGAACCCATGGCCCCCCAAAACGGGTGTGTCTTGCTTGTCTTTTGCAAATCCAAGTCAAAACTAGGTCAAGTCCACTATACACCTAGGGAAAAGCAGGAACTCTCTAGTCAACGCTGCTCCAAAAGTACTCTCAGGAGAAGAACTGGAGGCGACTGAAGGGGATTGCTCCCGGTCGAATGTAGTACAAGTAGCAGCTGTGACTTCCTCTGAGTGCGGAGACATGTCAGACAAACAAGGAGGAGTCAGGACGAGTGTAGATTGATTGATTGGCCTCCAAAGGTTTTTTTTTCGCAGGTCTTTTGGTGTCAGAAACTTGTGAAGCTATTAGAAACTTTTGAAACTGAAGAAGTGTAGGTTTCACAACTTCAGTGTTTCTAGACACAAATCCCCGATGCTCTGGCGAGGCCATCAAACCACTCTTCAGTCACCATGCATGACTCATCATGACTCATGACATCAGATTCTCATGACATCAGGGTTTTCCTGGGGTTCACCTCGTTCGTTCACTCATCGTTCACCTCATCCACTGTCTCTTTCCTTCACCGAAGGCCCCGAAGTCCACTTTCCGCACCAAGGGGCGGAACTGCGGCATCCGCGGAAGCGGGACCCAGGTCCCGCGGAACTCGCCACGGGGCCGAAGCAAAGCGGTTCCGAAGCAAGGCGAGTCGTGGTCGTCTCTGAATGAACAGTTGCGTAGCAGGTGAGGCGATGAGGTGAGGTGGCCAGTTCAATGGTTTGACCAGTTCAAACCCTTTGCGGCCAATGGTTGGTCGATTGGGATGACCCAAAGCAGCCCGCACGAAACTTGGAGCTGACCCACTGACAGGCCAATTTTAAGGATCCGCCAGATCTGTTTGAAGGAACCCGGTCCAAGAATACTCCACTATCCACTATCCGAAGATCTCTACAAGAATACTCCAGGATCGGGCCCCATTATCCAACATCCAACACATCATCCAACATCCAACGCCTTCTCTCAAAGAATCAGGGTCAATGCAACGCCTGGACGTTTGCGCTGCTCGTTTTGAGCCAAAAAACGGCTGGAGCGACTCGTCAAGTCACGGCGGAAGTTACGACGTGTTGCGCGATGCTTTCGAGTCAGGAAAGTGAAAGGAACCCGCCTTTGTTGCCACTAGTAGCTTCTTGCTCCTAGTAGCGATGCCACTAGTAGTAAGGCCACGAGCCCCTAGTAGCGTCCTTGCTAAGTAGAAGTACTCCGCTGTGAAAGTTGTTGAGGTGACTTTATGCTATTCTTGATTCTTGTAGAAAGAACTGGTTCGGTTCAATGCGATGAGGAAGTTCGATAACAAAGATCGAAACAACGCATTTGGTTTCAGTTGCTGCTTTCCACCGGACACTTCGGCTCAAATTGTGTGTGTGTGTGTGGGTCTCCACATGCTTCAATCCTGGAACGATGGCAAGCTTTATGTGTCTCATACTGAACAAACAAATCATGCACAAAGGACTTGCATGCAGTAACACGTAGAATATGGCTGCATAATTATGTACTTGATGTGAAAGCAACACCGGACAACAGCAAATCAAACTGGATCATCCACACTCCACTTTGATGATACGTATGGGATGACACATCAGATGTTCAGTCAAGGCAGCTGTCACCAATCCACAATTCCTGTACAAATGACCTTGCCATCAGATTTATTTCTCCGCAACCTTCTTTGTGATCTTTGTGAAACTCAATCAACCTGGAACCCATGCCAGAACCTCGTCAAAAGACATGTTTTCTGAACAAATAGGCCGTGCGAGATGCAAAGGAACTGTCTTTTTGGCTAGTGTTAACTATTTATAAATGTAAGTTTTGACATGGAACAGGAATTCATTCTAAAACTTAAAGCATCTTGAAACACACATGCTTGAAGAGGTTGTTCAAGGTTCCAGGAAAACCAAACCAGTGCAGCTGGCCTTTTATCCCATTGGAGGCGGCGGATTAGCCAAGTTTCAATGACTTTCGCAGATTGGTGCGAACGCCTGTGGCTTCTCCCTCGTAGGTTGCCCCATCTGCAGCGGCCTCTCTCATCTCTTGCACGGCTCCCTTGCGCCTCTTCACCAGCTTCGTGTACTTGTCGCGGTTGGCCACACGCGCATTCCCGGCCTTGTGCTTTCCTCAAAGCTCACCAAAAGCAGATTCATCAGATGTTTTTTCACCGAAGCAGTGGCTTGTTGCAATTTTTGAGACCCATCGAGATGGGCGACATGGGCCACCTAGCCTCCAAGAATCATCCATTTACATTTTGGCACCACATTGGGTTTACTAATTACAGGAAATCATAGTGTTCAACCCCACCCTGAGACTCCATGTATGACACAGTTGCCTACATGGCCACCTCTGCTCATTTGACTGACGGAAGCCATGTATATAGTCGATTATTGACTACGGTCAAAGCCCCACAGTGGGTCTCGGCATGTAGGCAAAAATCGCATACATTGGGTCAGGTGTAGTCAAAAAAAGGATATATGCTCATAGAAAGTCTCGGATGTCTCGCGTGACCCAGTGTGACTCGGTGTGACATATCAGAGACCACAAACGGCTGATGGTGATTTTTACATACGGAGGGTTTCTCAGCTTCAATGTTATCAGAAAAGAGGTACATTCTCTTCATGTCAATCAATATTGCGGACATTGGTGCCTCTGGGCCAAAACGATGGGTTTCCGGTAGAGAGAGCTTTGAAAGATGGCGCCCACACAGCCCCTTGCGGCTTCAGCTTCGATAAACTGAAATCCTCCTGGGTCCCGACATCGGTACCAATGCTACGACTGATGTGATATCGTACGCAATGACATGTCTTCCAAAAAACACAGTAAATCTGTAAACCTGAGAACCTGCAAAGCGAAGGCCAGCGTTTTTACTTTCGAGTGTGCTTTCTCAGGCCACCCCCCCGAACCCCCCTTCTTACTCAGCTGGCGCAGGTATAGATACCCAGGGTAACTACAATTCAGTTACCAGGTATAGTACTTCCAGTTCCCTTTTCGTCAACCGCTCGATAACCTTTACACACGCACAGCAATCCACAGCTTTGAAGTCTCATTCTTGCATTGAACTTATATAGGTGTGTAAGAGGTATAGCAACAGAGCATCTATACGGACCCAGCGTAGCTACAATTCTGTTGTCAGGTATCCCACTTCAATTTCCCTACCCTGGGTCCGCGCGCGGCCGCCTTGCTGGCTCCCGGCTGCCCGTGATTTAGGCGCGCGCGCGCGCCCCCGAACCCCCCTTCTTACTCAGCTGGCACCTTGCCAGGAATAGATACCCAGGGTAGCTACAATTCAGTTGCCAGGTATAGTACTTCCAGTTCCCTTTCCGTCAACCGCTCGATAACCTTTACACATGCACAGCAAACCACAGCTTTGAAGTCTCATTCGTGCTTTGAACTTATATAGGTGTGTAAGAGGTATAGCAACATAGCATTTATACGGACCCGGGGTAGCGACAATTCTGTTCCCAGTATCGCGCGCATGAGACTTCAAAGCTGCGGATTGCTGTGCGTGTGTAAAGGTTATTTATCGAGCGGTTGATGGAAAGGGAACTTGAAGTACTATACCTGGTAACTGCACTATAGCTACCCTGGGTATCTATACCTGGCAAGGTGCCAACTACACCTTACAGTACCATTCAGATGATGCAAATGATGCAAATTGCATTTCTTGCATCACCACCCCTCAACAATTACCTCCAACACAACCTCAAAAAACCTTCCATCCGTCCACCCTCCTCCCCCAGCATGTGCCGAGTTTACGTGTACCTTTTGCGGGCCACCCCCCCGAGACCCCCTAACTACTCACTTCGTTCGCCAAGCACAACTCAGCTGGCGCCTTCTACGAAGGCTGGCTTTCGTAACTTGGTCATTCCGAAGGTATACCGATTTAGCGGGATTTATCCCTCATAATTAGTAGTATTTGTATAGGACGTGCACGATCTCTGGTCATCCCAGCGGCGGTGTCGAACCAATCCACGGTTCTCCAAGATCTGCTTGCTGGTGCCACGACGGCCCTGTGCACGGAGACGACTCGAATGATGAATGCCACAACCCACTCGTTCGGACGAAGAGGTTTGTAAAGCATCAATCCCAGACACTCCATGGGACTGGCATATATTTACCTACCTTGGGGTGGTGCCAGGGGGGGCTTATGATGGGGGCGGCAGTCCTATGGCAGTCCCAGACGGGTCGTGTCTGGCTGGGTAGTACATTGGGTGTTCCGATGTCGGGATTGCACATAATTGCACCATTTCTGCGAAGCCGAGTAATTGGTCTCACAACTTTCACCCACCGTCCAAGGGACGCCAATCGAAACACAAATCTATTGCTTAGCTCTGGCATCCAATCCCCTTCGCTGGATGTTCTTCTCTTTCCGTCCTTGAATGGTCTTAGAACTTCACCAGCCAATGGAATCCAGGGAAACAGCTTTTCACCCCGTGAATCTTCAAGTTTGCTGTTTTTTCGTCTCCTGAGCTACAACAGAAGGATCCATTGGACCCATCCCTTGGCGGTCAAGTACAGCATTTGAAAAATGGCAGGAATGCGGGAGAGCTGAATATGACTGACAGGTACACGAGATTACACGAGGCTGGCATTGGGATGAACTCTTCAATGATCCCGGTCGCCTTAAAATTAGAAGGCGCTGTAAGTTGTCACTGCAAAGAATTCTGCTCCTTCAAACTGTCGTGGGGACTACGCTTGGATGTTGCGTCATCGACGAGAACCGCATGTGTCAACCATATGTCGGATTCTATACCCCTCAGGGAGATTCCTGCGACGTAGTGCATGCTTGAACCCAACTCATTGCAGGTTGCATGCAGGCCTCCACGTTGCTCTCGGGGCGATATTGCTTTGCCACTTTCGCCTTGACTTTTGCTGCAGCTTCAGCCGCCTTCCTCTCCTTCTTGGCTTTAGCTTTGGCCTTGGCTTCTCGAATCATTTCATTGTCATCTTCACTTTCCTCCGGCTCCTCCCCCTCTGCAGCCGCAAGTCCGTTTGCCTGTAAGTCGGCATCTGCTTCCGATCGAATCCGCTCCCGATACGCCCGTGAGCGGGCTTCCGGGTTCTTGTCTGAAGCTTGTGGCACCGCCCTGGCTTTTCGCTCCCGCAGGTGTTGCTGAACTTCAGAAAGCTGTTGAGAAAGGCTACCTGACGGTGTTTGCTGACTCTTACTGCCCAACAAATTGCTTGTGACTCTGACTCTTAGAAATTGCCAGGACGCAAAACTACTGTACAAATTCTGCAAAAGGTTTGAAGGACATGACGTGTACTTGAACTGCTCATCACACCTGGGCACTACAGTGAAATGATGTTGTGATAGTGTGTAACTTCCATCCACCAGGGATTCGATTCAGGGAGCCGTATACCGGGCGTTTCGTCTCGTCTCGGGTCAAGAACTGCGTCCGATCGGAAAAGGCCTTACTGGTCCTACAGCCCACCCTGGGATCCCTGCGCTTGCGCCCCAAAACAAAGGCCCAAACAGGGCCGGCGGGACCATGCACCGGCCTGAGGGCAACCATGCACCGAGCGTTGGATCGATTTCATCTAAATCCGCAGGACCATCGGCTCGGGTGGCCGTCCGGCGCTTCCCCGGCAACTGGAGGAGCGATCCGGGATCCGTGAAGCGCGGTGCTGGAGCTGCCGCTTTTCCTTCCTCGCCCTCCTTCTTCACCTACAGCTGAACAGTGTCTTCAGCATCCGAAAATACAAAACCACAAGTCTAGTTGAACATTGAAAACACGTGCCACAGGCCAACAGTCTCAACACTCAACACACACAATATATATATATATATATTTACATGACAGGTATCCAAGGACGGGTATTGACTATCAAGTATCCAAGCTTCATTCAACCGTGAATCCCTCAACTAAAGAAATCAATCTGTCAAGTCTTCTTGAACCAACTCAATCCTTTCTTCACTCTCTTGCAACCCAGAGCTGAGAGGGGATTGCCTTCACTTCATGCACACTCTGGCTGGTCTTCCTCCACTCTTTGGCCATCTTCCACGCCTTCCGGAGCTTCTCCAGCCGCTCAGCCAAGCTTAGCGCCTTCACAGGCGCCGTCTTCGCCGTTACGGCCGCCCGCGGGGCCTCGAGCCCGGGTGCGGGCCTGGGCCTGGCAGCTGGCCGTGAGGCCTGACGAGCGGCCTGGCGAGAAGCAAGCTTTTGTGGAGCATCCATCCATCCATCCCGACCAGCAACATGAGCACTTTGAGCACCCGTGTGCGGGAAAGCATGCGCACGGCGCGCGAGATAAGCGTCGTTTTTCACTCGACTGTCTGTGCCATTTGGGCGATTGACGGTCTGATCTCCTCTTCAGATCTGATCGGTGCAGAAATAGTTCTAACGCAGGGGTACAGCGGGACGAAGCGCATTTCGATGCACACCCTGCTGAGCCGAGTGCAAAAAGGCAGTTGGTGTGGTCAGAAACAAACAAAAATTGATCAAAGGCCTTGATGGGATATGTTTAGTTTGAGAATTTTAGGAGAAACCATCAATTTTGGACAACCCCATATCACAAATCACTGCTGCACCTCCACTTTTGGAGAGGTGGGAAAACTTGCGGACTTGCTGTTGGTCTTCAGGTTTGGGGCAACAATTCTTGAGCAGCTGCATGCAAATCATCTGCAAATTCTTCTGAAAAAAAAAACACATCCTTACACATCAATCATATGCATGTTTTAAACACCCCCTGAAAACACGGAAATCTAAGGTGTATTCTTCACAACAGCGAGTCTAACGCATTAATTACTAACTGAAGACTGGGTTCGGTGGGGGTGGAGAACTAATCCTTGTTGGTGTCACCGCTGCAGCGGACATATATGTGCAGCGGACATGGCATACGTCACGACCGCATCGTTTTCCGCTTTCCTTATGGTCAAACAAATAGTTCATGCCATGACTAAACACGTTGACACCATACATTTGTCAGTTGCTTATATATAGTAACCGGTAGAAAACTAAGTGCTTGTGGCTCACTCTTTGAAGGGGTTGTGTGGCAATTAAGGGCTTGCAAAAGACTATATAACTATATGTAAATATATAATACATGTCATGACATGTCCATGTCTCAAACCCAAATCATTGAAATTACGAACGTCCGTATGGGACGCGTCATCGGTGACTCTCTTTCTGGCTGCTGAAAACTGACTGAGCCTTTGCCCCTCTCTTCAAAGAATGAAGGATCCTGCACCACCATAAGATGCCACCTACTCTCCTATTCCATGGACGTGGGGTCCACCCCTGTTCGAACCAACTGGTCTTCCAGGGGCCTAAATTCCACTTCATCTGATGTGTTCATCGTGGGGGTGGCAGTCACCCAATCCATCGAGTCAATCACGTACCGCTCGCCTTGAGCAACTTCTTGTTCAACCGCTGGTTCAAAGGCTTCAAATGATCATCAAGCTCCCGAAGCCAAACCAGCTGAGAGACCACAGGGTGAGAACGCACCTCGCTTCCTGACAAAATTTTGGTGAGAACATGCACGCTGCGCACGCGTTGAACTGGGGAGAAGTTCGTCCAAAAGCGAGAAAGCACTCTTCAGCTATCAGTGATGCAAACATCAACATGCATTGCAATATCAGCCACATGTGGGTCTTCAAACGGAATGACCCTCAGCCAGTCGGTATTCGTTTTCCCGATACTGAAGGTACTACGAATGGCTTCGTCTGGTTTCCATATCCACCCACACGTGCTTCCACGTCACCCAGCAAACTTCGCCATATCTTGGAGGTTTCGCTATTCTTTCTTTCATACATAAAGGGACACGGTATGAAACTTCAGAACCCTGATTTCATGCCAGCTTCCTTCAGCCTTCATCATCAAATAGAAGGACAAATTCGCCAGATGATTCAACAGCAGGCTGATCCTGGAAGGGGCGCTGACCTTGAGTGTCGTTCAACAGACTCGCTACGTGGGGAACACCGAGTCAACGTTGAGAAAACCCTTTGTTCGCATACACGGCTATGAACCACGCACATACAAAATTAGCATTCTTCATGGTAAGGGTTTTTTTGACAACTGGGCAAGCTGTTTAGTTGACGAGCATAGAGACGTTCAGCACTGCAGTCAAGAGTTCAAGTACATGATCCATACAAATGAGACTACACTGGTGATCACTGGCGACTGACTGCGATGTTTGAACTGTTACCCCTGTTGGGGTTGTTAACCCAAATCCATACCAACCTCCCGCTGGAGAGCGAAATCAGGTCAGGCCGCCCTCGTCGCGCTGCTCCTGGCATCCACGTAGGAAGCGCCCGAGGGTGAGAACATGGAGCCCTGCTTCAGTAAGGGCACCAGCGGCTCCAGAGCTTCGAGTTTGGTTTGGAAGTCTTGCAGCAACGGGAGAAGCTCCGGAGCCTCCTTCTTGAGCAAGCTCTTCCTGACGACGCTTGGTCAAAACGTTTTCGTGTGAGACACATTCGCCGAAACAAAAACGGACTCTCAAAATGGATCCCATGAAGACTACCTGAACCTATCTTCCTTGACAAACCACCAGCTTTGGTGCTCTTTTGGGGTTCCTGTTGGTCTGTGGGGATCGGCAGTACAACGAGAACGTGCGCCAGTACCATGGCCATCGGCTTGACATGGGGCGCCCCCACTTCAGACCGGCTGAGTATCTGTGAGTGTTTCCAAAAGAATGTGCAACAACGGCATCCCAGTCCCATTAGTTATACCGTATATATATATTATATACCGTATATCAAAGGAACGCAAGAGGTTCACAGAAACGCAACCGTTTTTCGACGGCCACAACGCCTGCAGGGAAAGACCTCTCCCTGAGTTTCCATCACCCCCAGCCACCTAGCGTGTCGGGGCTCCGCTTGGCGTCTGAAAGCTGCGACAAATCTCGTTGCACCTTGCTCTTCTCAGCGTCCTCCGCTTGGTCCATGTTGACAAAGGTGACAGGATGTGAGAATTACATGTAGTTATACCTTCAGACAGGTCACCAATTGAGACCTCGTAGGGCCTATAGCAATGTAACCCTCTTGAGGAGTATATAGAAGTATACACATTGACATGTCCAATGTGTGGAACACTATGTGCACATACAATCACATAGACCTAAAGCATCTCACACACACAGAGTTGAAAGTTGAAGGGATTCAATTAAGGGCAGCTGCTTTCCAAACTTTTTTGGACATGCCATACCTGCAAAACCAAACAAAGAAAAACAGTGGAAAAAAAACAAGGTTGTCTTCCCCCACAAGTACGCTTCAACACGGAGAATGTGACTGTGACCGGACTCAGCTCCAATCACCTTATCACTTGTTTTTTCATTGGGAATTACTACCAGTAGCACTCCAATCACCTCCAGGCCCTGATGAAGCACCACTTCCATTGAAACCTCCTGTCCTCGGTGAAGATCGATTCGAAGCGCGCGGAAGCCACCTCCTCCGCGGCCTCCGCTGGTGCCGCAGCGGCACCGGTGCTGCCTGAGGAGGGCAGCGGGCTGCGTCGTTGAACGAAAGGCCCCGTCGTTAAGGAGTAGAAAGAAGAGTTGCTGTGGAAGAGTTGCTGCTTTATTCTCGGAGAAGGATCCTGGGTTGAAGTTTCAATCACAGCTGCAAGAATTGATCCTTTCCCAGTCCTCTTAGCACAAATCTCCGGTACTCAAGTCTATCAAGTCGCTTGCAAGGCCCACTCTTAGGTCCGTGTGAAGATCTACGTGCTCCGCTCATCTACTCTCCAATTACCTGAAGAGCCGTCCCTCCGGATTCGGCGGTCCTTCACCACCCGCGTTTGGCCCTGGAAGTGGCTCAGTGGAAGTCAACCCGAGGACAAGAAAAGCCGACCGTGGATCTCCATCCCCCACCGGGAACCGAACAAAAGAACATCAGAAGTGCTTCCCTTTGGGGAGAAGAGTTTGACCAGCGGCTTTTTTCTCGGTCCCCTTCGGGGCCCAGCAAAGCCAGCAGCGGATCCGTGTCGTCCTTCAGCCTCATTGCTCGAAGCTCCTCATCGGTCGCGGCGGAGAGCGCGAGCGAGCAGCACCGCGAAGCCGAAGGGGAAGCGAACGCCGGGGAAGCGTCGCTTCGGACACGGGGGGCTCGTAACGAGGACGGGAGTTGAATGCTTTTAACAAATTGGAAAGGAAAAAGGACAAGAACAAGGTCTGTCATTGTTGCTGTTGTTGGTGGTGGTTGTTTGCTGGTCTGTTTTGAAGAGGAGTCTGCTTTTTCTTTATGTTTTTGGGAACCTTGAAGGTAAAAAAACCTTGTGGGTCTGAGGGTTGAAGCCACTTGTTCACTCTTGTAGCCGACATCTAGTGAAAGGGTCGGACATCGGGCTTGCAGCAACTAGTGAAAGGGGGAATACCCGATTCATCCCGGTTCCATTCATGTTAATTTGAGAGGAGCTCACAGTGTGATATCATGGCTTCTCCCTCTTCATTTTGACCTTCAACACCTCGAAATAGCGCACTCGCATCTGAGTCTAGCTTTATGGGGCATATCCATGCCCACTATTTTCAGCTCTCTCTCTCTCTCTCTCTCTGATGCCATGGTCTGATGTCTCTGGCAATCGTGAAAAAGAAGAGAATGCATCGTGACCGTTGTCGAAGTGTCTCTTTCTCTTCCAACAAACCGTTACGTAAGACATCTCTCATCGTCTTCTCTCCACCTCCGCACGGCCCGCGCTCCTCAAGCTTTTTGGCCTCCTTCAGTGTTCGATCTTCATCGCTGGCGCCAGAGGAGTCGTCACCGGCATCCTCGCCACCGTAGAAGTCGTGCTTACCTGAGTCGTCCCTTTCTTAGCACATTCTGGTCCAGCTAAATGGGTAGATCATGGGACACATGAGAAGAGAAAGCCACACAAAAAGCTGGGCCCAACAAGCTGAGTCCGTGCGAAGCTCAGCAAAGAATCCCCCAAAAGCGGGGCAGCTCGGGCCAGAAGGACCCCTCCAACGAGACGTCTTGTCTCAGTATGCAAGCAGTGGTGCAATCATCATATCTATGTATATATATATATAGCAGTACAGTATTGCTACAGAACGATCTCTATATAAATTATATATATATATTGCTACAGACTACAGACTGCTGCGAAGAGTCCTTGGAATGAGGGACACTTCGCCCCCAACAGAGATTCTGGAATGGATCCAGCCACCCTCATTCCAGGTTACTATCTACCAGGGGCCGCACAAACCATCAAAAACCTGGTTTTCCCTAGAACAAAAACTGGGTTTGGTATGTGAAAACCTCTCTTTTTCATGGTTTTGAGGGCCCCTGGTATATAGCCCATTCTTGTATAGCTTAAAACATCGACACTGTTGGGAGATCTTCAGTTGGCCGGTTGTTCGGACCTAGACTGGCTTTGGCCCGCCCAGACCACCGTTGGTTCCGACGTCCGTGACCGGAGCGCTCCGACCCGTCTGTGGGGAGCTTGACCAAGGGGTTTTCGCAGGGTTTTCACGTTTTGTAGGGATCCGTAGGGGTCATTCATTACATCTCGACTCGCTTCCCATCTCGAAGCTTACAGACCCACATACGGAAGACGTCTTCTCTGGTCTGTTCTCTTGTGCCTGTTCTCCGGTCTTGTCGTGGTTTTTGCATGTTTTGTTCCATAGTCTGGTTGTAGAAGGTGCTTGTTGTCATGAGGCCCAAATGATGACTAGCTGTATAATCCTCCACAAGCCACCGCCAAGTGAATCCAGGTTACCCCAACCTTTACTAACCGGATCCAAGTCGATCTCAGAGTCCTCCTCTGATTGCGCCTTGGACTCTCTGGGCTTCTTCTTGGACTTCTTGGAAAAGTCTTCTTCATTCAAAGACTTCAAGGCAAAGACGTCCTGCCAGGTGGCCCAAACGAAGACCTATGGACCATTATGGACCTATTGAAATCAACCCAGCGAGATATGACATTTTCAGGGTCCCTGGAGAGCCTCTGCCGGGCCTCCCACTTTCCCAGGCCCCATGTCCTCATCCTCCATCTCATCCTCACCGCCTTCCTCTCCTGAATCTAAGGCCAAGAACTCATCCGCCTCATCTTGACCGTACTTCTCAATTCCTGTCCTCCTGCAACATCGAAAACGAAGAGGATGCCTAGCAACCTCGTTTTGACGAGCGGACGAAGAAAAGGACCTCTTTGCTGGCGGGTGAAAGGACAAAGTACCGCTGATATAGTGTTTTAACATAGAGTAACTTGCGGGGCATCAGTGTTTTAAGGGTAAAACATTGGCTTTTGGGGCTGAACATATTGCATCTACTTTGTTACGATTTTGCATGTGATGAAATTACCTGACAATGCATGCGTGCAACTCCAGGGCATCCCTGTTTTGCGAAAGAAACTCCGTGGCCAAATAGGGCAGCGGGAGGGAGGGCGGCCCAACAGGACATGTCCAACGCCATCATTATTTTACTTTGCACGGATTTTAGTTGTACCAAAAATTGGGGACCCTGGACTCTAACCACCAAAACGATTTTCTAACCTCAACAGTGTTTTTCACCTCCCAACTCTTGTGTTTAATTCCAATCTCTTTCTTATACCCAACCATTTTTAACACACACACACATATGTTTTTCTTAGTGCAACATGTTTCACCCAAATCACCAAATCATTGGCTTTCCCACAAGACTCGGAACATGATCAAGTTTCAAGGTGATAAAGCGGGGGTGCGCCGTTTCAGTTTTGTTGTGTGAGATGGAAGGCTATGGCGTCAAGCATTCCGTGGAAGACGGCCGGGTCGCCTCGAGGGGCAAAGGAAGAGGTTCCAGGGAGTTCAATCCACGGCTTTTCGGAAAGGGTTTTAAAGCTGGGTTGGGGCGGTAAAAAACCATGTCGGTGGGTTTTAAGCAGGTTGGGGAGGGAAAAGAAAAGAGGTTTGTGGTTGAAAAAAAGGTTTTGTTGTTAAATGAAAAGGAAGGAGCTCTAAGGAAAAGTGGCTGACGGGCTATAAACAGGGGAGCCCCTAAACAGCTATCAACCTTTCACCCAGAAACAAGATAGAGAGCATCATATATAGAGTTGACAAAGTAAATCCAAGCAATACCTTCAAGGCAATTCCCAAGAGGCCAACAAATCCAACAAATCAAGAATTCACTGGGCTTGCACGGTAAGGGGCACCGGAATCCCCATGGAAAAGGTATGAGGTACACTTTCTGGTGGTTGATGAACCATTTCCAGCCAATGCAAAGGATCTATGTCCATGTCAATGACCAGAAAATCGTGTAAAGTGCTGAGTTCTTTAGGCCTCTAAAGGAATCTAGAGCCACACCCACACGACATGAATCTATATATATATATATAAATACCTGCAAGTCCAAAGTAGTGGTTAAACAAGTACGTGTGGAAATGAACAGTTCAATGTGTACATCGCGTTGATCGGATGAACCCTCACAGATGCAGGGTTTGCCAACAACTGACACGCAGGATGTACAGCATGAATCGCATGCCTGTGAAGCAAAGCCGAATTCACAGTCCCCCATGCTACAGTACAAGATATTAGCTATCGATCGGTTTTCAGAGCTTCGGGTCAGCTGGCTCAGCTAAGCTTCAGGCTACGTGGAGGAGATTCTGAAGCCCTCCAAACTTGGTGAATGCAAAGTGCACTTCCAAGTTGCTTGTCAAATATCGATGTTGACCAGTATTCGATATGACTTCAAGTCTTTGCATATCGCAAGAACAGACAAGGCCTTGAAAGGCTTGGAAGGTGAGCTTGACAAGACACTTGCAGGATCTACGGCATGGATCGCATGCCTGTTGTGGCGGCGTCTTCTCCGACGGACCCTAATTCGAATTCAGTACGAAAATGAAGACATCAGCACAAGCTGCAAAGGTCCGAGGCGCTTGGACCAACTGTTGGGAGTTGCCTCAAGGCTGTTGGCCGTCACAATGGTGCGGACTGCGCTGGCCATTATAAAACCTGGGACCAGTACTAGTACTGGATGGGCTTACTGGTATAGTGCCGTTTGCCTCTGGACCAGGCCCTCATGCATATAGCCTATAGCCTATAGTATTAGCCCTAGGTCGTGTGCGAAAATGAGATATTTAAAATGAGCTCCACAACAGCGGCGGTAGATGTCAGGTTCCTAGCCATGGTTCTGGTTTCATATTGCGGTTCTTGGCTTAGCCGCTTGCCATCCAGACTTGCTCAATAGACAACCAAACCAAGGCCAAAGTGCCACCGACAACCACCTGGTTCCCCTCCAATTCCCTTCAAAACCACCTCTGAAGAGATCATGAACACTATTTCGGCTTTAACAGGACCAAGTAAAACTAGGTTCTAATAAAGTAAGTAATAGTGCTCATCCCACTCTAAATGCACAAGTTTAACGAGGTCATTGACTTGGAAGGATATAGTTATATATTTTATATTGTTGAGCAATAGTGAACCCGGACCCCAAAAGCATTCAATTTTGAGATATTCCAAATAACCATCCAGCCATGGGTTCCTTCCTCAAGATTCCATTGAAAAGTCGGGGTGTCGTCTTTGTACTGATTCACCAGCATCAACGACGGAATCGAGGCCTACATCCTCCTCACGGCTCCTGGAACTGCTTCCTCTTCCTCTCCCCGAACTACCTCGACTCTTCCGTGCCATGGCACTGGTCAGAGGTTGCGCAGGGTAGTATAGAGTTTCTGCAAACGACTTGGCCGAAGCTTTGGGCTGAACCGAACGGGAACCGAAAAGAAGATCAGTAAGAAGTAAACCATATTGATATGTATTATTATGATAATATGAATGTATATATATACACATGTAAATAATATATAAAGTATTAACACCATGTGAATTATGTAATCATCAGGACTCAGGACGTGGCCTTAACTGATCTATGATTTGCTCGCCACCCAAACAGATCTTCAAACGGATTGAAGAAAACAGAAAACGCTTGAAAACTAGTACATTATGTATAAACAGTAGATCTTTACATATCTTTAGACACAATGTGTGGGATATGACATGATTCTGATGTCTTCTCAAGTGGAACGAGTGCTTGAGCATGTTTGAGCTTTCTGTTGTGCACTTGATCACCTTCGAGGCTGCAGGTCGCTGGTCGGTCGCGGTCCCTGCTGCTTCCCACCAGTGAAGCGACAGGTGCAGGCGGTTTTTCGTGGTCCCCACACTCTCCGGTGCTGCTTCAATCCGCTCATGAACAGCCCTGAAAGGAAGAGGTTATTGGACCACAGGTCACGCGAATCGTTCGGCGAATCCATCGGGTTCGTCGCGATCAGTTCGATGTGTTCCCGTCAACGGTGACGTGGTCTCTCCAAGGATGTGTGTGTGTGTGTGTCAAAGCCTGTTTCCAAGGCTGCACTCTGAACCTAGCTCTGAACCTAGCTCTTGCGAGCAACCATCTAAGTGTGTGTGTCTAAATGTCTGGTGGATTGCATGGTCCCTTGATGCGCTTGATGTTCCTTTGCCTTCCAGAGCCTCTCAAGAGCCGAAGGTGCACCTGCTTTAGAAGGTTGTCGCAACTATTTTCAAGCAAAGACATCTAGGTAAAGACTCCAAACCTTAATAAATTATGACCAAAATTGACAAAATGATATGGTGTTGTTCTCCCCCAGAACCTCCAAGTTGGTCCGCTCTTCTCGTCTTTTGTCCTCCTTTTGCTCCTTACAAGTCGCTCCGAGTTTCCGTTGGGGGCTCACTGCATTCCTGGTCGCAGGACGACTCAAGAGGAGCAGCCGGAGGGTCGCTCACAGGTGCTTCCCCGGTAAAGAACAAAGGTGAGAATGAAGGACCAACCGCTCAGTATCGCTCAGTTTGGCTTGGAAGACACCCTTGAAGCAGTGAGGAGCTGGTCATTTTCACAAATTATTGGTGTTATATGGTGTTATCTGTTATTCATAAACAAAATATGTCTTAAACAGTGAGAAACCGGCGGCATCACACACATCATGTTCGCTTGAGGTGCATCACTCCATTGAAAAAACCGTCGACGTCAGGTTCTCAAAGCCCATCGCCTTGGGAATGTCGAAGAAACCTTCGAAGAACTTGTTGGCCTTCCTCTTCGCCTTTCGCGGGTTTCTTCTTCGCCTTTCGTCTCGCGCACACACCTTTTTCGGGGTGATCGCGCGGGCGAGTTCCACACGGAACCGGCGGTTTCAGACACCGTCGCAGCATGGCGTTTGGTCGAATCCGCCTTTTCGCGGTGTTTGAAATCGACACCTGCTCCGTTTTCGTCTGTCGACTTCACATCCAAGTGGCGCCAAGGTCCAAATGGATCCTTGGAGAGGAAAAAAGCGACCCAGGTCTAGGTGTAGGACATGGAAGAAGATCATGGACGAAGAAAGCGATGGTAATGTCTTTCAACATCCTGTGGTCATGTAACAATGTAACATGCACACGACAAAGCACAGAAAAATAATGCCAGCTCCGTGGCATTTTAAGGAGCTGTTGGTGCAATTTTCTCCAGTACAGGCTACTTTCATTCAAGAACACGGCTTGACCTTGATTTCTCGCCAAGCCTCAATGAAGGTTGATAGGATGCCTCAAGCTATGCCGTCACCGACAGAGCTATCACTGTATGGTGGACCTTCTTTGGTTCAAAGGTAGATGGCTATTTGTATGGCACAAATAGATACAAATAGCTTGTTTGTCTCTTCTACCACTGGCGTCGTACCCGATGCTTCTGGCTCTCCAAAGGTTTTCTCTGCAAAAGTCTGAACCGCAAAACATGGGTCTTTGTAAATGCCCCTTCACACGTGTGTCACTCATGTTCACCGACACTTGAAGAGTGAAGCATAGTCAGCTTGACTGAGTGATTAAAATGCTAGGCAAGCCATGCGTATGCTCACCGCAACTATTTATACTGCAAAGAGTCTTGTTGTGATTTGTTCAAATAAATTTGCCCAGCCCACCCACATGTATTCATATAATATATACACAAGTGTATATACAGGGTTCTTCTCTTCATCTTCTTGCTTTGTCTGCCCTATTCTTGTGATTTGTGACCATCCTCCTTTTGCGCTTCTGTTGGCCTGTTGGCAGGATATTCGTGCCAGCGTTCTGCTTTCTTCGATTAATGCTGGAAGAGCGATGACACAACTGAGACATGTAGATCTCAAGTTGCGTGGAAAGAATTCGAGAGCGAAATCCTGCTCGCGAAGACCGACCATCGCTGGACTCCGTCAAGGGTCCTGTTGAGTTCGCCTCAACTCCATCAAGAGCGGGCCAGCAGATGCAAAGCGGAGTGGGTCAAGTACCTCAGCGGAATTTGCGGGACCAAGAGTTCTTAAAGCAGAGGAAGGGGGATGTAACACAGAAATTGGACCCAAGGACCTTCCCACCTTTTCAGGATTGGTGACCTTTTCAAAGCCGTTTCTTTCACGGCTCGGTGGAACAAGCCATTGGAGTCGCCATACACAACAGACACCGTGGAACAAGGCGGTTCCCGTTTTTCTTCAAAAGGGGCAGGTGGGCGCCTGCAGGCAGGTGCAGGGTCTCCAAAGATGAAGAGTCCACTATGTACTACAACTTATAGTGGTGGTACAGGATCACTTCATTCAGTGAGAATGTCACGTGTTCCATAGTGCTCCATACTGTTCAACTTCTGGTTCCTATTTGCGAGGCCTTCTCGGGCTTCCAGTCGTCTTGCGTTGCGACCGCTGCGCTGTCTTCGTTTCATCCAACGGTCCTTGACCGCCACAACGGTGGTTGACCGCCAGAGGCGATGATGCCGATTTCGACGACGATTTCATGTGTTGTCCGACTTTCACTTGTTTTCGTTCTGCCGATTTCATGCCGTTCAAGTGCAATCCAACAAAAAAAACACACTGACTCATCCGAACGCTGATGGGCAGCATATGTGCTCCCATTCTGAGATAGACCCTGGAGACCCCGTCCCGCGCAACTCTGGATACCAATCTTGATATCAAGTGCAGCACATGAGTGGCATGGGTACCCTGTGACTGTGTCATTATCTCAAAGTGTTTGGAGGCTCTGGTCCTTCCAAAGTGATGGTAGCTCTGAGCCATGGCACAAAAGCAAATCGTCCCCAAATGACATGACTTATTAGTATTAGTATAATATATATATATATAATATAATACTATATATATCCAAAGAATCCATTGTGGACAAAATCATATCCCACAACATCGTCTCCAGGAAGACGTAGGTCCCCCTGAAACACTCTAAACTCTTGCCTCGCACTGCAACGAAGAACCACACAGCTCAAAGAGGGACCATTGCCTCGGCTGGGCAAAACCCATTACCCGAACAGAAGTTGCTCACTTTCGGCGAAACCAACCGCTGCAACCCATGGCTAACGGCGCCAAGAAGGGAAAGTGATCGGTGAAACCAACCACTGAACACGACAACTGTATACAAATGAGTGAAAAGGGGTGTGAAGAAAGGGTTTCCCTCTCTCTCTTTCTCTCTCTCTCTCTCTCCATTGAGACTCTCCATGTATAATTACCGAACAATTCCCAAATACACGTCTGCGCTTCAGATTAGGATCAAACCCTTCTTCCCAACACCTCCTCGCTTCCCAGGCACATGGCTGCTTGGCCCCAACATGGGCCGCTGATCACCCGTGCGCGGAAACGCATCACCGCAGCCCAAGCGGCTTTGGAGGGCCTGGTGATGGTCAGCGGGCGGGACCAAACATGTTTAAGCCAACCGGCATGAACACCGTCCCAGTGTAGGCGCGCGCAAAGAAAGATCCCGTGCGGGCATGATAGCATGTATGTTGGGACTAACATCATCACCCTCTACAGAGTCTACAGAGTCTACATGTTCATTATTGTAAAAGACAGCATGGTTTTGACTATTTATATACATGGCAACACCGTACGTTCTCCTACCACATACTTCTCAGTTTTCTCTCATCTCTCTTTTGTTTTACAACGGGATTAGCAATAATTCTTGTTTTGTGGCACATACGCACAGGTTTGTGGGGGGTGG